GTGTTAATGCAGGATGGCAAAGTCATTGCCTATGCTTCGAGGCAGTTGAAGATTCATGAGAAGAACTATCTGGTTCATGATTTGGAGTTGGCAGCCATAGTTCACACATTGATGATTTGGAGGCATTACCTGTATGGCGTGGCATGTGAGGTGTTCACGGATCACAAGAGTCTTCAGTACTTGTTCAAGCAAAAGGAGTTGAATTTGAGGCAGAGGAGGTGGTTGGAGTTGTTGAAGGATTATGATATCACCATTTTATATCACCCGGGAAAGGCCAATGTGGTGACCGATGCTTTGAGTAGAAAGTCAGCCAGTATGGGCAGTCTTGCTTATATTGCGATCGGTGAGAGGCCGCTTGCTTTGGATGTTCAGGCTTTAGTCAATCAGTTCGTGAGATTGGATGTTTCTGAGCCCAGTCGTGTGTTAGCTTGCACGGTCGCTCGTTCTTCATTATTGGAGCGTATCCGTGATCGGCAGTATGATGATCCCTATTTGTGTGTCCTTAGAGACACGGTGCAGCGCGGAGGTGCCAGGCAGGTTACCTTAGATGATGATGGAGTTTTGAGATTGCAGGGCCGAGTAGGTGTGCCTAATGTGGATGGGCTCCGAGAGTTGATTTTGGAGGAGGCCCATAGTTCCGGTACTAATTCATCCGGGCATCGCGAAAATGTATCAGGATTTGCGGCAGCATTATTAGTGGCGTAGAATGAAGAAGGATATCGTAGCATATGTGGCTCATTGTTTGAATTGTCAGCAAGTTAAGTACGAGCATCAGAGGCCTGGTGGTTTATTTCAGAGGATTGAGCTTCCCGAGTAGAAGTGGGAGCGGATCACTATGGATTTTGTTACTGGACTTCCGCTTACTCGGAAGAAGTTCGACGCAGTATGGGTCATTGTTGATAGGCTGACCAAGTCAGCGCATTTCATTCATGTGGCAGTCTCCTATTCTTCTGAGAGGTTAGCTGAGATCTACATTTGGGAGATTGTTCGCCTTCATGGTGTGCCCGTATCTATCATTTCGGACCGGGGTACGCAGTTTACCTCGCATTTCTGGAGAGCAGTTCAGCGAGAGTTGGGCACACGAGTTGAGTTGACCATAGCATTTCATCCCCAGACGGACGATCAGTCGGAGCAAACTATTCAGATTTTGGAGGATATGCTCCGAGCTTGTATTATTGACTTGGGGAGGCTCGTGGGATCAGTTTTTGCCTTTAGCAGAGTTTGCCTACAACAACAGCTACCAGTCGAGCATCCAGATGGCTCCTTATAAGGCTTTATATGGTAGGCGGTGTCGGTCTCCAGTTAGATGGTTTGAGCCGGGAGAGGCTCGGTTGTTGGGTACGAATCTGGTTCAGTAGGCCTTGGACAAGGTCAGGATCATTCAGGATAGGCTTCGTTCAGCTCAGTCCAGGAAAAAGAGCTATGCAGACCGCAAGGTTCGAGATGTGGCTTTTATGGTTGGTGAGCAGGTATTGCTCCGAGTGTCACCTATGAAGGGCGTGATGAGATTTGGGAAGAAGGGCAAGCTTAGCCCTAGGTTCATTGGTCCGTTTGAGATTCTTGATCGAGTGGGAGAGGTGGCTTATAGACTTGCTTTGCCGCTGAGCTTATCAGTCGTGCATCCAGTGTTTCATGTGTCCATGCTTCGGAGGTATCACGGCGATCCAGCCCACGTGTTAGATTTCAGCACTGTCCAGTTGGACAAGGACTTGTCTTATGAGGAGGAGCCGGTGGCTATTCTAGACCGGCAGGTTCATCAGTTGAGGTCGAAGAGTTTCTCTTCTGTTCGTGTTCAGTGGAGAGGTCAGCCTCCAGAGGCATCGACCTGGGAGTCCGAGTCCGATATACGGAGCCGTTATCCTCATCTTTTCCCCGACTCAGGTACTTCCTTCTTCTGTCCGTTCGAGGACGAACGATTGTTTTAGAGGTGGAGAATGTGACGACCCAAAGGGTCATCACCTGTTTTTAATTGAATTCTATGACTCCGAGGCCTTGAAAACCTCATTTAGAGTCGCCTCGATTTGCGTGCGCAGTCCGGGCGCGTAGCCGGAAAGCTTAAATATGAAATTCTGTGAAAAATGCCAGTTTTGATGTTAAAATGAATAAATTTGACCTTGGTCAACGTTTTGGGTAAACGGACGCGGACCCGTGATTTGATGGTCCCGGAGGGTCCGTAGGAAAATATGGGACTTGGGCGTATGCCCGGAATCGAATTCCGAGGTCCCAAGCTCGAGAAATGAATTTTTTAGTAAAATTGTTTTATGAAATTGTTTAAGGAAATTGAAAATGAAATCTGATTAGAAAGCAATGGTATCGGCCCCGTATTTTGGTTCCGGCGCCCGGTACAGGTCTTATATATGTTTTAAGTCCTTCCTGTGAAATTTGGTTGAAAACGGACGTCGTTTGACGTGATTCGGACCTAAATTGGAAAAATTGATGTTTTATGAAGTTAGAAAGAATTCTTGGATTTTGAGGTTTAATTCGATGTTTATGATGTTATTTTGGCGATTTGATTGCACGAATAAGTTCATAGGATGTTTTTGAGGTTGTGTGTGTATTTGGTATGGAGCCCCGAGGGCTCGGGTGAGTTTTGGATATGCCACGGGGTGTATTTTTGAACTTAAAAATTTGCTGGTATGAACAGACCTGCAGGCTTCGCATTTGTGAAGCCTGGCTCGCAAATGCTAGCCCGCAATTGTGAAGGCTGCCTCGCAAATGCGAACAGCCCATGTCTGCCCTTTTCCTCGCAAATGCGAGATTTATGATCGCAAATGCGAAACCTCCCATATTGGTCAGACCTTGCAAATGCGACCAAGGTCTCGCAAATGCGAAGGTCCGGAGTTTTTGAAGCGTTCGCAAATGCGAACAATGCTTCGCAATTCCCATATCTGCAGAGGTCGGGGTTCGCAATTGCGAACCCCTGTTCGCATTTCCCATAACTGAGACCTGCAATTTTTACACTTAAACGATTTTGAGCTTCATTTTTCATATTTACTCAAACCCAAACACACTTAGGCGATTTTCCAAGAACAAGTCTTCTTCCAAATCAATTGTAAGTTAGTTTTTACTCATTTCTTTCAATCATTAACATCTTTTAACATGATTTCAACCTAAGATCAAAGATTTTCATGGGGGAAATTGGGTGTTTCGGGTAGAACCTAGGTTTTTCAAAAATTGGGGATTTGGACCTCGATTTGAGGTCCGATTTCAAAACAAATTATATATTTGAGTTCGTGGGGGAATGAATAATCGGGTTTTGGTTCGAACCTCGGGTTTTGACCACGTGGGCCCGGAGGCGATTTTTGACTTTTTGGGTAAAACTTTGGAAAACTCATTTTTATGCATTGGGGTTGATTCATTTAGCACTTATTGATGTAACTAAGTAATTTGTGATTAGATACGAGCGAATTGCGGTGGAATCAAGGGGTAAAGCTATAATTGAGGCTTGAGTTGTGTTCAAGGCATTGAGGTAAGTGTTTGGTTTAACCTTAGCTTGAGGGATTAGGAGTTGAGTCATATGTGCTATGTGCTTCTTGTGGAGTACGACGTATAGGCATGGTGACGAGTATCTATACGTTGGTGTCGAGCATGACCGTGAGTCTTAAATTGATATTTGTTGTATTCTTGAACAATACTATGGTTGCAATAGTGAGTAGATCTGTGGTATTGAGTAAAGGATTAGCTTATTTTCGTAGAAGTTATTTATGAGTTGGAAATAGTGATAATGGAGATGATTAGGAGTTGAATTGAGATTGGTTATAGCTGGTTCTCCCTTACCGAGACGAATATACTTGTACTGTTGAGTTACCTTGCCGGGATAGAGTATTTTATGGTTAATCCCTTGCCGGAATTTTTGTCATGATTACTGTGAGCTGTATATTTGGAACGGGTTGCACGCCGCAACATTTTTATTTATGTATACATATATGGATGGGGTTGCACGCCGCAACATATATTATATTGGATCGGGTTGCACGCCGCAACATATATTATACTGGATCAGGTTGCACGCCACAACATATATATTATTGGATCGGGTTGCACGCCGCAACAGATATATTATATTTATTGGATCGGGTTGCACGCCCCAACAGTTATATATATATATATACTTATGGATCGGGTTGCGCGCCGCAACAGTAGTGTTATTATATTGTTTTAGATACTGTACTATTCCTTCACATTTGTTTAGTTTCTGCTAAGTTGAAATGTTTCCCCGAGGCATGTACCCCCTCCCTTTTAACTTCTTATTTCTTGTTTATTTTCTGCAATATATTGTATATCTGTACAGGTTTATTTGGTAGTCTGGTCCTAGCCTCATCACTACTTCGCCGAGGTTAGGCTAGGCACTTACCAGCACATGGGGTCGGTTGTGCTGTTCTACACTCTGTGCTCTTTTGCACAGATCCCGGTCCCGGAGTAGCATTTGGTCATCAGCAGTAGATTGGGAGCTATCCTTCAGTCCGAGACTCCGAGGTAGCCCTGCTGGCGTTCGCAGGCCCGGTGTCTCTTCTTTCAGTTTTTATGTTCTGTTGTCATTTGTACTCGAGACAGACTATGTTCTTTTCTTTCAAACACTTATTTGTAGTAATCCTAGACAGTCCGTGGATGTTGTGACACCAGGTTCTGGTTAGAGGCACGTGTTGGTCTTCAGGATGTTTTGATTTTATATTTTATTTAAGACTTCCGCTGTAATTTATTTGTTTATTTACGGTAATTTAATTGGTTAAAAAGGAATTAAAAACAAAAAGAGTTAATGATTTCTAATATTGTGGCTTGCCTAGCTTCTACGAGTAGGCGCCATCACGACTCCCGAGGGTGGGAAATCCGGGTCGTGACAGCCGCCCTTGCCTCTCTGTAACTGATGCTCCCAGGTAGCGAAGATTGTGCAGTTTGAGGAGATCTTTGGCATCACAATAATATGAAGTCGCATCTCTGTAACTGATGCTCCCAGGTAGCGAAGATTGCAAAGATTTTGCAGGTTGAAGAGATCTTTGGCATCACAATAATACGAACCATAATTCTTCAGTCTCCAGTAACATACTTTCCAATCGCAATTTATCAACTCCGCAGACTTGAAAAGAATATGGAAGGTACAGATGCCTAAGTTTTTTCAGCTTCCACAAGACATTAGGTATGGCCATCACATCATTTACCCGTATATCAAGAGTCCGCAAGTTTGACAATTCACCAATAAATGATGGCAACTCCTTCACATAACAGTTTCTTAGACCTAGGTATTTCAAATTAGTAAGTTTTTCAATTCCTTCAGGAAGCCCTTTCCCCTGAAATCTAATATCCTCGAAATCCAAGACTCTAAGCAATCTGAAATTCTTGAGACTAAAGGATCGAGGCCACGATAAAGCATTTCGATTTGGGTAAGGATTCAGAAATAAGAGAGATCGAACTTTACTGGATACTTTCTGCTGCAAGCAAACATCATTTCCAGCTTCACACTCGTCAAGGAACACGGAAAGTCTTCTTGTTGTACCATAAGAATCCTTTGGCGGTCCATATGCTAGATGAAGCACTTCAAAAACGTTCTCTTCCTTTCCCTTCAATAAGCAGTGCTCCCGCAGCAGGTCATTAATAGGGCAATTTTGAACTACTCTCTCCATGCCCTCCTCTTCTTGCATGCAAATCAAGTTTCTGGCTACCAATTGATACAGATAATGCTCTGCTCTGTCAATCAATGTTGTTTCACTTTCTCCATTTTCTGATGCTACAAAGCCCTCAGCTACCCAGAGATTGAATAACTTTGCTGCTTCTATGTCTACACCTTTTGGGAATAGGCCCAAATAAAGAAAGCAACTCTGCAAATGGTAGGGCAAGTAATGGTAGGTCAAGAGCAAGGTCTTTGGTATCTTGGAAAATACTAAGGTATCTTTCTCGAGGTATAGATATGAGTCAAAATTTTGAAGCACAGACTTCCAATGAGCAACGGAGTGCTCCCTGGCCAAGACGCTACCAGCACAGACAACTGCTAATGGTAAGCCAAAGCACTTGCTGACCACAGCCTTGGCGATTTCTTCCAGGACTTGGTTGGCTTTAAAAAAATCTAGGAAGGAAGGCTGTCTCTTCAAAGGACCTCCCAACACTCATCCGCAGATAATCTCTTCATCTCAAAAGAGACCCCCTTCTCAGCAATGCTCTTTGCCACATCTCCATTACGAGTGGTGACCAGTATTCTACTAGCCGATTTGGCAGTTGGTAAATATGCACTCAGGTTAACCCAAGCATCCATTGACCACATATCCTCCAGAACAAGGAATTGCATTTATTTGACTCTAGAGACTCGTAAACTTTATGGGTTAACTCTATTCGACCTTTGCAGTCTAACACTTGTTTTTTACTCGAGCTGTTAAGCTGTATAAGGATATCGCGCAAGAGGAAATCCATATCGATATGGAAATCATGGGGCAGAACAATGTAAGCGAAAGCATCAAATCTTTGGCCATAAAAAAATAGCTCATCGTACATCGCCCATGCAAGAGTTGTTTTGCCGATCCCTCCCATACCGCAAATAGCGATAACTGGGGATTCCTTAAATCCATACTGGAAAAGGGATTGCAGTGTCCTTTTCTTTTCTTCCAAGCCAACAAGAACATCCTCGTTAAACGGGTAAGCAAAACGGTAATCACTGCAATTGGAATCAGTCTGATTGCTATCTACTGGGATCAGGGCCTTCTTAACACTGCAGCAATTTGCAAACTTCTCATTGAAATAATGGATCTGCTCCATGATAAACACCAGCTGGGACTCCAACTTCCGGCGGCCATAGACAGTAGAGACGCATTTTAAGATACCTGATGATCCTCCGACATCAATAGCGTAAGTATCGATTACATTTTCAGTTTCAACAAGGATTTTTCGGAATTCATCCATGTTTGACTCAAAAGTTGTTTAACACTTTTTAAGCAAATCAATCAAATAAATGAAGGGGTAACTCCTAGTTAAAGATAATTAACTCTAGATCCGAGACGAATAATATGAGTAGAAAAACATAGCCGAGTATAAATATTGGGCGTGATTATAGCCAGATTTAATAACATAAAGAAAGATGTATTGAATAACATTAAATGGCAATAAAATGTAGATAAAGGAAAAGATTCACCCGATCTTGAGTTAGTCGGATCTTCTTTCATTTGATAAAGATGAATGATAGACAAAATACAAGAACCATTGGACCCTTTTTGGATCTGATGAAGGTTTTGGATCACAGATCCTCTTCTCTCTTTTGAGAGATGTGTTTACATATTTTCTAGAAAGAGGGAGAGNAGCGAGGTCGAACTGTTAATCTTTTATGGCGAAGGCACATAGCCTGAGTCGATGGCGAAGGCACTTAGCCTGAGTCCCAGTTCGAGCAAGGTCGAACTGTAATATGTCGATGGCGAAGGCGCTTAGCCTGAGTCGATGGCGAAGGCACTTAGCCTGAGTCCTAGTTCGAGCGAGGTCGAACAGTAATATGTCGATGGCGAAGGCGCTTAGCCTGAGTCGATGGCGAAGACACTTAGCCTGAGTCCTAGTTCGAGCGAGGTCGAACTGTAATATGTCGATGGTGAAGGCGCTTAGCCTGAGTCCCAGTTCGAGCGAGGTCGAGCGAGGTCGAACTGTAATATGTAGATCTTTGATGCCGAAGGCCTTAGCCTTAAAGTGTTCCCCGGGGGAGTCCCAATTTGCTTAATTTTGCTTGCAACGGCGAGTATGACGTATTTCCTGGGGGAGTCCCAGTTTGCTTAATTTTGCTTGGTTTTGGAGAATATGATGCATTTTCTTTTCGTGTATCTGGGAGAATGCTCCTGCTTCTATTCCATTAAGAAAAATGGTTAGTCAAACCAAATTAAATCGTTCGTTACCTTTATTTGATCGGTCAGCGAGTGGAGAGGAGCGACCATGTTCACTCCTCTAGTTATGCTTTTAGTGGCAGCTACCAATTTTGGCGTTGTTGTCCGCTTTAGTAAAATTTTTTTGTACCGATAGCATATTATCTGATAGAGGAACAGTTGGGGAAGAAGGGGGCACCAGATGACCACATCTCTTTTGTGCGTCTTCTTGCAGATCCACGCTATTGTCTCGTATTTTTGGGGGGCTGAACAAAGCAATCATGGAAATGAAGGCGAAGTAAACCGGAAGCTTGGCCAACATCATCTTTGATCTGTTTTTCAAGCCTCTTCCTGAGCTTCTGTTACAAACAATGAAGGAGAAGCAAGAAAACTTGAAGTAGTTGACACAATAGTTGATGTTTGTTTCTATATTGATCAATATTGATACGAAAACAGCAGGACCAAGGGTCAATTCAAGTTATCCACTTGGATATTTTTTGTTCCATGGTTTGGACTTTAAGAGGAATCACGAAATTTTCTACAGTTGAAATATATAATCAAACTTATCCGATGATAAGAAACGCCTTTGATTCGGCATTTAAAGAACACAGAAGTTGTACGAATATTCCCTTATACGGATAGTATATTAAAAATTTGAAGCTGCAAAAGCGAAAGAGAGTTTAAGAAAGCTATTTTGTCTTTCCATGCTATGGTAGACGGCGTGTCGGCTCGCCCTCCGAACTCGGGTGCAAAACACTCGGCTTACAATTAGCAGGATTTTGTTTTTGCACCCTATGGACCAAGATGGCATATGCTTAGAAAAATCTGCACTGTTCATCTTTTTTCTGCCAAGGCTTTAGATGACTTCAGCCATGTCCACCATTTTTTTTGTTGGTTTTTATATTTTTATCTTACACTTGCTAATGCCCAGGTTCTATTGCATTATAATGTCTTTTTAATTAGGAATTTTCTATACTTTCAATGAAAAGGTGATGCTTGCCAAGAATATGTATATATTTGGAGTGGCATACTCCTAGCATAGATCCTTGTTACACGATAATAACTTTGGATTTATCGTTATTGACGAGCACATCATTGACTTTAGCATAGATCAATGAATACGTCGTCATTGACGAATACATATAACTCTTTCCTTTTTATATTTCAGGTAGAATGTCGTATACTTTGTCTGTATTTGGAAATTCCTTAATTTTTGAATTTTCATTGTTTCCCCGAAGCGATATGCACTCCTAGGATGGCGCTACAACGAGTAGAAAATGGAACTAGAGTTGGATTTAGATCTAGAGGAAACTAAAATTTTAACTAGAAAATCCCCACAGACGGCGCCAAATTGTTAAGCTCAAAAGTTGTCAAACACTTTTTAAGCAAATCAATCAAAAGAAATGAACGGGTAAATCCTAGCTAAGAATGATTAACTCTAGATCCGAGACGAATAATATGAGTAGAAAAACGTAACCGAGTATAGATATTGGGCGTGATTATAGCCAGATTTAATAACATAAAGAAAGATGTATTGAATAACATTAAATGGCAATAAAATGTAAATAAAGGAAAAGATTCACCCGATCTTGAGTGAGTCGGATCTTCTTTCATTTGATAAAGATGAATGATAGACAAAATACAAGAACCATTGGACCCTTTTTGGATCTGATGAAGGTTTTGGATCATAGATCCCCTTCTCTCTTTTGAGAGATGTGTTTACATATTTTCTAGAAAGAGGGAGAGGGAGACCGAGAGAGAACCCCCTTTCTAGGACTTCCTCCCTTCCTATTTATCAGGGGTATTCCTAGAAAAACATTAAAAGAAAAGGTACAATTAGAGGGAATATTCGGTAGAATATTCCTTTTGAGGATTCCAAAGCAGACTAGTTGTTTCATCACTGTCCGACCTCGGCCTGTCCGACCTTGGCCTGTCCGACCTCGGCTTTATTGATGACGGTCCGACCTCAGCTTGTCCGACCTTGGCCTTATGTCTTCGCGTGCCGAATTTCTCTGGTCTAATTTTGACTCATACATCTACCATTGATCTTTATTAAATGAAAGAAGATCCGTCTCACTAAAGATCGGGTGAATCTTTTCCTTTATTCATATTTTTGTTACTTAATGCATCTTTACTTATGCCACTAAATCCGATCTTAATTGCTGTCAACATTTATACTCAGCTATGTTTTTCTACTCATGTTATTCGTCTCAGATCTAGAGTTAATTATCTTTAACTAGGATTTACCCCTTCATCTTTTTGATTGATTTGCTTAAAAAGACTTTAACCTCTTTTGAGTCAAACAATTTGGCACCGTCTGTGAAGATTTTCTAGTTAAAATTTTAGTTTCCTCTAGATCCAAATTCAATTCATAAGTAGAACACCTACTTCCTGGGATCCGGAATGCAACATGTCATGTACGTGTCGTATGGCTTTCATCCTCGTTAATCAAACGCATGTAAACTTGCTAATCCAGGTCGCCAAATAACACAACGGCACAAAGTTTCACTCATCTTCGTTTTCCTTTATCATTTCTGTTTATTTGCCTATATATCAAATCGACCCTTGCGGAGAAAGCTCGGAACTTCTATCCCTTTCTTTAAGTACAAAAAGTTGCCACCTGTGGAACATGAAACCCATTCACCTACAAGATAAGATCTGTGTAATCAGTTACAAGATTTGCATTGCTAATTTTCGCACCACTAAGGGGAAATTAATCAATACGGAAAAGGAAATAATTAGCATCCGAATTATTATTATTATCATAAGTTCTCCCAATATTCACTCTCTACACGCCACCAAAGTAAAATATAGGAAAATCACCTTTTTGATAAAGCTGGTCAAGTAAATTGGTACAGCCAGAAGTCTTTTCAAATATGACTCTGTTTTTAATTTTGTGAGTACCACTCCCCCACTCATCAGTTTTTGAAAAAAGGGCTTCAGAAAAATGATAAGAAAACCACAGAGAGGACAGATTTAGCTTCAATCTAAAGGGAAGCACTTTTATCGAAGCTCGGTGGATCGTCATCCTCGTTGTCGTTTTTTAAATTGTCAGACCGACATTTTCCCGCGGAAATGCAGAGCACCCTACAATCCAATCGGCTCTGCGTCGTATCAACTTTCTTGCCAAACTGGTAGCGGCCACTAAAAGCATAACCAGAGCAGTTAATGTGGCCACTCCTCTCCACTCGCCGACTGATCAAATCGAGGTAACGAACGATTTCATTTGGTTTAAGTGACTGTTTTTCTAAATGGAATAGAAGCAGGAGCATTCTCCCAGATACACGACCAGGAAATACATCGTGTTCTCCAATGCAAGCAAAATTAAGCAAATTGGGACTCCCCCAGGGAACCCTTTAAGGCTAAGGCCTTCGCCATCAAAGATCGACAGGTTCGACCTCGTTCGAACTGGGACCAAGGCTAAGGCCTTCGCCATCAAAGATCGACAGGTTCGACCTCGCTCGAACTGGGACTCAGGCTATGTGCCTTCGCCATCAAAGATTAACAGTTCGACCTCGCTCGAACTGGGATTAAGGCTAAGTGCCTTCGCCATCAAAGATTAACTATTCGACCTCGCTCGAACTGGGATTAAGGCTAAGTGCCTTCGCCATCAAAGTTTGACAGTTCGACCTCGTTTGAACTGGGACTCAGGCTATGTGCCTTCGCCATCAAAGATTAACAGTTCGACCTCGCTCGAACTGGGATTAAGGCTAAGTGCCTTCGCCATCAAAGATTAACAGTTCGACCTCGCTCGAACTGGGATTAAGGCTAAGTGCCTTCGCCATCAAAGTTTGACAGTTCGACCTCGTTCGAACTGGGACTCAGGCTATGTGCCTTCGCCATCAAAGATTAACTATTCGACCTCGCTCGAACTGGGATTAAGGCTAAGTGCCTTCGCCATCAAAGATTAACAGTTCGACCTCGCTCGAACTGGGACTCAGGCTAAGTGCCTTCGCCATCAAAGATTAACAGTTCGACCTCGCTCGAACTGGGACTCAGGCTAAGTGCCTTCGCCATCAAAGTTTGACAGTTCGACCTCGTTCGAACTGGGACTCATGCTAT